TGGGGTGGGGCCGCCCTGGCTCCATTTTTAGAGAGATTTTTGCTATAGGGTGTGTGCGCTCTCCAGAAAGACAGAAAGAGACAGAGAGAAAGTGAGAAATTACCCACCCCCCCAGGGAATATTGCCACACCACAGTCCCTTTTTCTCCATTCTCCTCTTGGGATTTTGGGCATGCATGCACATGTGCCCAGCCTTAGTTTTTTTTTTATTTTTTTTTAATAGTTTTTATTTTCAGGGCCAATGCCTGTATGTTTATTTAAATTTGACCAGAGTGAGAAGAGAAAGAGGGAAAATGAGAAAGCAAGCTTCCAGGTCTGGAACCGCGGTCAGCCATGTGGGAGTCCAGCATCCTCACCTGCCATGCTTCCTGCTGCCCTACCCCCTGCCCCCCATGAGTATAAGCCCTGTGTCTAGGACTCAAACCATGGTCAGCTATGTGGGAGTTCAGTTATGCCATCTGCTGGTTCGCCAGCATGATTTTTAAGCTGCCAGGTGTGGGACTCTACCTGTGTAGTCACCCATGTAAGATCAGTGGCTCAGCTCCCATTCCACCCATAGATTTAACAATTGAAACTTTTTTTTTTTCAAAAAGAATGATTTTATTTAACTTTATTTATTCATTTATTATTATTATTATTTAAATTTGACCAGAGAGGCATAGAGTGAGAGACTGAGGGAAGTGAGAAAGCAAGCCACCAGGTCCAGGACTTGAACTGCAGTCGTCCATGTGAGAGACCAGTGCCCTTAACTACCATGCCACCTGCTGGCTTCATCAATTAAAACTTTTTTTTTTTTTTTAGAGAGGTTTTTGCTATAGGGTGCTTGCGCTCGCCAGAGAGACAGAGAGAGACATAGAGACAGAAAGTGAGAAATAACCCCCGGGGGGGATGGCCACGCCACAGTCCCTTCTCCTCCATTCTCCTCTCAGAATCTTGGGCACACAGGCACACGCGCCTGGCTTGAGTTTAAGTTACCGGGTCTGGGATTTGAACCGCGGTCAACTATGTGGGAGTCCAGCGACATAGCCATTACGCTAACTGCTGGTCCCATCAATTAAAACTTTCAATAGTTCCCTCTGTTTTTTATTTAAAGGTTTAACCCCACTGAAGAGATGAAAGAGTACATGTTTTCTTTTTTCTTTCTTTTTTTTTTTGAGAGGTTTTTCACTATAGGGCGCGTGCACTCGCCAGACAGACAGAGACAGAGAGACAGAAAGCGAGAAATCACCCCCCAGGGGGGATAGCCACGCCGCAATCCCTTCTCCTCCATTCTACTCTTGGGATCTTGGGCACGCACGCACATGCGCCCGGCGTGAGTTTTAAGCCACCAGGTTGGGGACGCGAACCGCGGTCGACTACATGGGAGTCCAGCGACATAGCCATTATGCTAACTGCTGGTTCCCAAGAGTACCTGTTTTCATGTGCATGCATAGGTATAGATATATATATGTGTGTGTGTTTGTGTGTATGTATATTATATGCTTTATTTAATTGCCAGAGGGCAAGTGAACTTTTCAGAGACAGACAGAAAGAGAAGGAGAAAGCATTCCCAGTGGAGCATAGTTCCTTTGCAGTCCTTCTCCATTTCTCTACCCTGTTGGGATTTTGGATGTGCGCACACTTATTTGGCATGTTTTTCAAGCAGCCGGAATAAAGATTTAAACCATAGTCGGCTGGGGCTGGCAGGTGGCATGGTGGTTAGGGGCGTTGGACTCCCACATGGCCAACTGCGGTTTGAGTACCATACCTGGTGGCTTGCTTTCTTGCTTTCCCTCTCTACTCTCCCCACCCCCCTCATCAGTCACTCTCACTCTGTCCCTGTGTGGTCAAAAAAAAAAAAAAAAAAGTAAGTCAATAAAGTTAATAAAATAATTAAAAAAAAGAAAAACCACAGTCGTCTATTCATCCCTCTTAAATGCTGCATTTTGGGGCCAGCAGGTGGCATGGTGGTTAAGGTACTTGACTCTTACATGGGCGACTGCAGTAAATGGACTGGTGGCTTGAAAATCATACCAAGCATGTGCGTGCATGTGCTCAAAAATTTGAGGAAAATGGAGAGGAGATTGCTGTGTGGCCTTCCCTGCGGGGATTGGGGGGTGATTTCTCACTTTCCCTCTCTCTCTCTGGCAAGCCCATGTGCCCTCAAGCACAAAAGAAAAATAATGAATTAATTACTGAATATAACCATTTTCTTAGCTCTTGAGGTATATTTCCAAGTTTTTCTCTAGAAATGACTCATTTATCTGTACTTCATAAGTAGTATATGATATCACCTTAGTTTGAGCAGTGTTGAATAATAGTACAGAATTTTTTCTTTTCTAGTTTCATTGGCAACAAATGGTTTCTTTAATTTTTAAAATATATTTAAAGTTTAGTTGTATTTCTTTTTTTATGAGTTGTCTGTTCTGCCACAGTCCATTTATATGTTAGGGTCCTTTGTATGACTTCTTCATAGTTTATGGAGACTAATTTTCTGTTATAGATTTTTTTTTCTAATTGGTTTTCAATTTTATTCATTTTTTTCAGTTTACTTATTTCTTCCATGAGAGAGAGAGAGAGAGAAAGAAAGGGGCACCCTTAACAGTCTCATCAAGTCCTGATCCCCTTCCCAGAGCCCTATCTAGCTCATTAGGATCCTGGCTGCATGCACACCTACTGTGTTTCTAGGTCGACTTAGAATTCCAATCTGTAACTGGCTAGGTGGCTTCTAGCACTGCAGTTCAGTGTGCTGCTGACTGTGCTGCCAAGATTGGGCTAGCATTTCTTTTGCCTGCAAGATTTCTCTATCCTTGTTAATAAAAATTCAAATAGGCTTGTACCATCTGTTCTATTTTTGTGTTACTTAATTATGTGCAGTATTTGAGTTGTTAATCTTTTAGATGCTTTTTGTAGAATCAAACACTGAAAGAGGGAGATTTTTTACTTTTTCTAATTTGGCTAAGAAGTGGTTGGTGTGTGTGGGGAATCACAAGAAAATTCTGAGTGCTTTAAGCAAAGTGTCCCAACCTATCTGGGAACACATGATTGTGTCCTTCCACTATATAGTGTTCTGGGAATGTCAGTGGAATCTGCGCCTGCTGTTGGGGGAGAGAAGGAAGAAGAGCTGGAAGAGAAGGAGAAAGAGGAGAAGGAAGAAGATACTTCGAATGATACACATTCCCTTGGTGCTGAAGGTAACTTTGTGCCTTTTTCAGGATGGTAGATTGTTCTAGGTTTACCATGAGCAAGCAGATATCTAAATTTCTCTTCTTTATTGGGCTATGGATTTCTCATATTGCACTGATAGTCATCAGGTGCTTGGTAGTAATTTAACATATTTTAGTCCATTAGTTTGGTGTTCAGAAGTTTATACTTCATTGAATAGCCTTTCTGCATATTGATTTTTCTTCTTTTTTTATCTATCTGTTTTTCAAGTATTTTTGGAACGTGCACTTTATGGGGCTGAAGTACAACTTGAATTGCTGTGTGTGTGGATGTGGTTTATTGGATATCTTTTTTATGTTGAGGGACAGATTTTTGCTATAGGGTACGTGTGCTCACCAGAGAGACAGAGACAGAAAGCAAAATAATCACCTTCCAGGAGCCGTGGCCATATCACAATTCCTTCTCCATTCTCCTCCTGAGATTTTGGGCATGTACGCATATGTTCCCAGAGTGAGTTTTAAGCCATCAGGTCTGAGACTTAAACTGCTATTGACTCTTTGGGAGTCCAGCAACATAACCATTATGCTATCTGCTGGTCCCATATTGCATATCTGTAAAAAAAAAAAAAAACCTTTTTTTTACGATATTGAGTACTTGTAAGGTTTTATTGTACACAGTTTTTTGCTTCATTATACCTTTTCCCCCTTCATTTTATTTTATTTTATTTTATTTTTTGCCACAGGGCATATGTGCTTGTCAGAGAGCCAGAGAGAGGGAAAGTAAGAAATCATCACACACACCCCTACCCCCAGGGAGTGATGACCACACTGCAGTTCCTTCTCCTCCATTCTCCCTCTGTGGCCTTTGGGTATACGTGCACATTTTCCTGGCATGATTTTCAAGCTGCCAGATCCAGGACTTGAACTGCGATTAGCATGTGGGAGTCCAGTGCCTTAGCCACTGTGCCACTTATTGGCCTCTCCCCACCACTTTTATTTTTTTAAGACAGATTTTTGTTTTAGGGCACCTGCACTTTCCGAGAAAGAGAGAGAGAGAGACCATCCTCCAGGTGTGTTGGCCACACCACAGTCTCTTTTCCTCCGGTCTCCTCTCAGATTTTGGGCATGCATTCACATGCACCTAGTGTGAGTTTCAAGCCACGGGGTCTGGGACTTGAACTATAGTCGACCATGTGGGAGTCCAGTACTTTAATCACTATGCCACCTGCTGGCCCTACCCCTTTGACTTTTTTTTTTTTGAGAGATTTTTGCTATAGAGTGTGTGTGCTTGTCTAAGAGACAGAGACAGAGAGATAGAAAGTGAGAAATCACCCCCCACCCAGAGGGGATGGCCACGCTACAATCTCTTTTCCTTTGTTATTCTTCTGGGAGCTTGGGCACATAGGCACTTGGGCCTGGCATGAGTTTGAAGCCACTGGGTCTGTAGTCATCCATGTGGGAGTCCAGTGACATAACCACTACACCATATGCTGGTCCCCACCCTCTTTTAGGACATGTGTGCTCTCTCTAGTCATAGAGAGAGAAAGTGAGAAAACACCCACCAGGGGGGATGCCATACTACAGTTTCTTCTCCATTCTCCTCTCAGAATTTTGGGCATGTACACACACATGCACCTGGTGTGAGTTTTAAGCCACCTGGTCCAAGACTCAAATTGCGGTCGACTATGTGGGAGTACCGCTATGCTATCTCCTGGTCCATATTTTTAAAAAAATGATTTTTATTATTACTTTTTAATTTGCTATAGGACATGTGTGCTCACCAGAGAGAGAGATGAGAGAGAGAGATAGCAAGACATCAGATCTGGGAATTGAACTGCGGTTGATTTTGTAGGAGTCTATCACCCTAATCACCATGCCACCTACTGGCCTGTGATGCATTTTTTATTATTTTTTTATTTTAAAAAATATTTAATTTTATTTAGTCATTCATTTATTTTAATTTGTCTAGAGAAAGACACAGAGAGAGAAAGGGAAAGTGAGAAAGCAAGCCACCAGGTCCAGGACTTGAATCGTGGTTGGCCACGTGGGAATGTCTAGCACTTTAACCACCATGCCACCTGCTAGTTCCCAATGCATTTATTTTTAATTAAGAATAATTTTGGGAGGACAGAGCTTTGATGTCAAGGATTTAACATAGATGTCTTTTTCTAATGGTCAGCAGCTTACACATTGTGTAGTGTTGTGGGGTGATACCAAATTTTTTGGAATTGTGTTCCTAGATCCTGGGTCATCACAGTTGGGCTTTGGGGTTCTGGAACTGTCCCAGAGCCAGGATGTCGAAGAACATACTGTGCCATATGAAGTGAACAAAGAACATCTACAGTCAGTGACAACCAACTCTGATGTGGATGCTAATAATGGTAAGTTGATGAACTTTTGCCACCCCTCTCCCACAGCCCAGATCACTTCTGTGACCCCAAAATATGTGGTGATTTTTTCCCCATCTGCCAGCAAGCAATAGTTCGGCAGTAGATTCTATCTGGGTGACTTGCAATTCCATTCCATGCTGACGTTATCTACCTGGAGATAGCACCAGGTCCCACAGGTTGAATACTCAGTCCTGCAAGACTGCCTCCCTAATGCACGTACCAGTTGTAACTCTGGGCTCCTGCAACTTCTGACTATAAATTTGGGTTGTTATGAACCCCTCCTGTCCTTGGAGTTGGTTAATTTGGTAGCACGACTCCTTGATGTCAAGGAATCACTTACTTAGGTTTATCTCTTCCAAAACATTTCTTTCTTTCTTTTTTTTTTTTTTTTTTTGAGAGGTTTTTGCTATAGGGCACATGCGCTCGCCAGAAAGACAGAGAGAGGCAGAGACAGAAAGTGAGAAATCACCCCACAGGAGGAATGGTCATGCCACAATCCCTTCTCCTCCATTCTCCTCTTGGGATCCTTGGGCATGCACGCAACACGTGCCTGGCGGGAGTTTAAGCCACCGGGTCCAGGACTTGAACCGTGGTTGACTACATGGGACTCCAGCGACATAGCCATTACGCTAACTGCTGGTCCCAATCTTACAAAATATTTTAAGAGGTAACTCTTAAACAGCCAGATTGAGAGGTATAAGGCAATGTCTTTAACAGTTCTAAGCACAAGGAGATTCAGTCCTTTGGAGTTGAGTTATGCCACCCTCCAGGCATGTGAATGAGTTCTTATTCACCTTCCTTTAAGCTTTTATGTGTTCAGCTGTCCAGAAGCCCACTGAACTCTGTCCTCTTGGGATTTTTTTCCTGCTTTTAAGAATTATTTATTTTAATTTTATTAGTTCATTTGTTTTAATTTGACCAGAGAGAGAGAGACAGAGAGAGGGAAAGTGAGAAAGCAAGTCACTAGGTTTGGGACTCGAACGGTAGTCAGCCAGGTTGGAGTGTCCAGTGCCTTAACCACCTTGCCAGCTGCCTGCCCCCAAGATTTTATTTTATTTTATTTTATTTTTTATAAATACTTCATTGCAGAGTCCCAGTTGAAGCATGGCCGATTGTGTAGAAATGATTGGACAGAAGAGTGTGATCTAATGTTAATGGGCCGAATGGGGAAACTCAGCAAGGCCTATACACTTAGGTTCTTCTTGGCTTTCCTTGCTGTGGAGCATGGATCCAACTGAAGTGAGAGTCTTGTGATTCTTTTTTTTTTTTTAATTGGAAAAGCAGGGGAAAGATTAGAGTTTCTGTGACCACATAGGGATTAGTTTCTATGGCTTTTGTGTTGGAGAGAAAAGTAGCAGATAAAAGGAGGGGCAGGAGAAGGTCATGCTCTCTTTTCCCTTCATATCACGAAAGCTATTCTGAAGTTACTTCAGAAACCAAGGACAAAAGGCCAAATATTTATGAGCCAGTAACTATGGGTTCCCCATATGTGGGGCTGGCAGGTGATGTGGTGGTTAAAGGTGCTGGACTCCCACATGAGTAACTGCAGTTCAAGTCCCAACCTGGTGGTTTGCTTTCTCACTTTCCCTCTCTCTTTTTCTGTTTTCTTTCTGATCAGACTGGATCAAATAATAATAATAAAGTTAAGTTAAAAAAAAATTCTTTAGATAATGTCATAGTAGGAAACCTGTTTTCTGACATTTGGAGTTGTTTAAAAGTGTTTTCTTCCCATGTTAAATGTATTTGTTTTTCTTTTGTTAAGTTATAGGTATTCAGATGAATATATCATAACTTAAAATAGTAAGGTTGCAGAATTGTCTGCTAAATACTTATCAGTTGATACCTTGCAGATTATGGTTTTCTGCAAGTGGCTTATAGGTTATTTTCCTATTTGGATTGATGCCCTTTTTTAAAATTTTCAGTTAAAAGCAATGTATTTTTTTAGGTTTTTGCCATAGGGTACATGTGTTCACCAGACACAGACAGAGGGAAAGTGAGAAATCACCCCTAAGGACCACATTGCAATCCCTTCTTCTCTTGGAATTTTAGGCACACACATGTACCTAGCATAATTTTCAGGCCACTGAGACTGGGACTTGAACCACAGTTGACCATATGGGAGTCCAGCACCTTAACCACTACCCTACCTGCTGATCCTGATGTTTATATGTGTGTGTGTGTGTGTGTTTTTATAGATACCTAATTTTTATTTAATTTTATTTTTTTATTATTATTTTTTAATTTGACCAGAGAGAGACAGAGAGAAAGTGAGAAAGCAAGCTGCCAAGTCTGGGCCTCAAATCATGGTCAGCTATGTGGGAGTTCAGCACCCTAACCACTATGCCACCTGCCAGCCCCCATCTGTATATTTTTAAATTGGGCTTTTTTTTCTTTTTTTGGAGAGGTTTTTGCTATAGGATGTGTGCACTCGCCAGAAAGACAGAGACAGACAGAAAGTGAAAAATCACCCCCCAGGGGGGATGGCCATGTCGCAGTCTGTTCTTTTCCAGTCTCTTCTCAGGATCTTGGGCATGCATGCACATGCACCTGGTGTGAGTTTAAGCCACCAGGTCCGGGACTCAAACCATAGTTGACTACATGGGAGTCCAGCGACCTAGCCATTATGCTAACTGCTGGTCCCTAAATTGGGCTTTTTATGTTAAAGTCTTTCCCTTAAGGAAAATATTCATAATTGTTTCTAGTACTTTGAAAAGTTAATCCTGTCTGTCTTGTAAAACTCCAAGCAATTAAGCACGAAGAGCAGTCCAGTGATGATATCCCCATGACAGAACAGCCCAGCAAGAACACCCCTGTGACATCCATGCCCAGTAAGGATGTACATGTGGTAGAAGAGCAAAATCTTCAACCTGCAAGGTAAATCATATTTTTTGGCTTTTCTCTATAGGATTATACTAATTTCATTTTGCTAGGCAGAAGCATTTTTAGAAATTGTTGATTTTTCTTTTTTCTTTTTTCACCTTGGACTTCGCATATTTCTGGTCCAATAGAAACATTTATTATTTATGAAGACTCAGGTCCTAATTTTATCTTTAGACATATTACAAAATAGTATTTTACTGCTATTATAACCACAAGAATGACTCCCTAATCTTTGATTACCATTCCTCTGTGACCTTTGTCTCCAGAGGCACTGTCTCTTTGTGGGAGGGCTTTGTTGTCTCTCTGGTGTTATGAAGTGTTACATGAATATTATATTTGAGGAGCATGCAGATTGTTTTGGTTCTTTAGGTATCCTGCATCTGGTAGTTTATGCTATAGGTAGAGGAAATTTGTAGACCCTTTAATTTTTTTTTATAAAGAATTATTTAATTTTATTTATTATAGTACTAGTTATTATTTTTATTTGGCCAGAGGAATTGAGAGAGAGAGGGAAAATGAGAAAGCAAGCTGTCAAGTCTGAGATTTGAACCACACCCGGCCATATGGAAGTCCAGCACCTTAATCACTATGCTACCTGCCAGCTCTCCTTTAGGTTCTTAACTTGGTAGGAATTGGGAAATATTCCTCTATTTTGTCTATAGTGATTCCTTTTTTTTTTTTTTGGAGAGGTTTTTGCTGTAGGGTGTGTGTGCTCACCAGAAAGACAGAGAGAGAAAGTGAGAAATCACCCCCTGGGGTGATGGCCATGCCGCAATCCCTTCTTCTCCATTCTCCTCTCAGGATCTTGAGCACATTTGAACATGTGCCCAGCATGAATTTAAGCCACCAGGTCCAGGACTGGCACCACAGTCGACTACATGCGAGTCCAGTGACATAGCCATTACTCCAACTGCTGGTCCCTATAGTCATTCTTCTATCCCAAATTGTATTGCCTTGGCCAGTGTTTGGATATAGCAGAGGAAAACTGGGGTGCTTTTCATTTTAGGGGGTAAATGAATAAATATTATTTTATTAATTTTTTAAGAGATATTTGCTTTAGGGCATTTGTGCTAGACAGACAGAAAGCAAGAAATCACTCCCGGGGGGATGACCAAGTCACAATCCCTTCTATATTCTCCTCTTGGAATCTTGGGCCCATACATATACATGCCCAGCCTGAGTTGTAAGCCACTGGGTCTGGTCCTTGAACTGTGGTTGACTACATGGGAGTCTAGCAACTTAACTATTCCACCATCTGCTGGCCCCATTCAGTATTTTTTTTTAATTAATTACTTAATTTAATTTAATTTATTTATTGCTATTATTCCATTTGACCAGAGACAGAGAGAGAGAGAGAGTTGCTATTATTTAATTTGACCAGAAACAGAGAGAGAGGGAGAGTGATAAGGCAAGCTGCCCGCAATCCCTTCTTCTCCATTCTCCTCTCAGGATCTTGAGCACATATGCACATGTGCCCAGCATGAATTTAAGCCACCAGGTCCAGGACTTGCACCACAGTCGACTACATGCGAGTCCAGTGACATAGCCATTACTCCAACTGCTGGTCCCTATAGTCATTCTTCTATCCCAAATTGTATTGCCTTGGCCAGTGTTTGGATATAGCAGAGGAAAACTGGGGTGCTTTTCATTTTAGGGGGTAAATGAATAAATATTATTTTATTAATTTTTTAAGAGATATTTGCTTTAGGGCATTTGTGCTAGACAGACAGAAAGCAAGAAATCACTCCCGGGGGGATGACCAAGTCACAATCCCTTCTATATTCTCCTCTTGGAATCTTGGGCCCATACATATACATGCCCAGCCTGAGTTGTAAGCCACTGGGTCTGGTCCTTGAACTGTGGTTGACTACATGGGAGTCTAGCAACTTAACTATTCCACCATCTGCTGGCCCCATTCAGTATTTTTTTTTAATTAATTACTTAATTTAATTTAATTTATTTATTGCTATTATTCCATTTGACCAGAGACAGAGAGAGAGAGAGAGTTGCTATTATTTAATTTGACCAGAAACAGAGAGAGAGGGAGAGTGATAAGGCAAGCTGCCAGGTCTGGGACTTGAACCACAGTGAGCCTTGTGGGAATTCAGCACCTTAACCGCCATACTATCCACCAGCACCCCCTGATATATTATATTCAGTATAATATCGTTGTTTAATATATAGTATATTCGGTATTATATCGTTATTTCTTTTCATAGAAACGATGGAGAGTGGAGACTGACCAGAGTTGAATGTCATGAAAATTTATCTTTCTAATTTAGCTTAGCAGTGGCTAACTCTCTAGGCTTTTCTTTAGGATGTTGGCTTCCAGGTAGTTTTCCTATCCTATTTACCCTAGAAAATAATAGAAATAGATGAATCGTACAAGTCTGGAAAAGGGCCACATGAGTGTCTTACCTGTCTTGGGGCTTGTGTTGGGTAGATCACATTGGAAAAGTCAGGAGAAAAAGTGTTTGGCGGTAGCACAAAGGATAATTCACATCCAAGCATTTTCTTTGGAAGGACATTGTTTGGATTGCTCTTCTTTTTTAAAATCTATTCATTTGTTTCTTTATGAATTTATTTGTTGTCATTTTTCAGGGTGCAGGGTTTAAGATTTAAACTGCAGTCAGCCATATAGAAATCCAGTGCCTAAACCACCACACTATCTGTTGGCCCTGGACTGCTCTTCTTACTGACATTATTATGTGAATCAGAATCCTTCATGTAGGCCTAGATAACAGCATATGTAGGAGAAATCCCCAAATCACTATGAGAAATCTTGGAAAGCATGCAGCACAGCAGTGAGTAGAGTTGAAAAAAGGCATTGGGTGAGGAGCTGAGACAGGCCTTGAAATGGGATACTGGTTTTGTATCATTGTAAAGAATAGCTTATTTCATTTTCAGTAGGTACGTAGGTGGATTAGAACTACTGGGATTTTTGAAATTATTAAAGAAAAATACACAAAATAGGAAAAGCCTTTTTGTTAAAAGATGAAAGCATTTGAACTTAGCAACTTTTTCTCCTGGTAATACAAATTTTTAGGTCTGAGGACTCACCTTCTAGTACCAAAATGTCTCTTGCTGCTGTGGAAGCAAAAGAACCAGTGAATGCCCAAGAGCTTCTGGAAGATGGACTACAAAGTCAGAAATCACCAAAGCCTGAGATTTTGTCAACTCAGGAAGACTTGTTTGATCAGAGCAATAAAACAGGTACAAAGAGTGATTAGTTCCTACAACTCCTCTCAAGTTCTACTCTTATTTTAATTCTGAAGCTACTGTACAAGTTCAAAAGCATTTTATAGTTATGTAGATTTGTTTGTGATAAGGAAGGGTATTTTGTTTCTAGTTAATTAGTGAGAAGGACTTTTTGGGAATGTTTGCTGTTTAACATTTCAGCATAGTTTTCTCTCTTTTGGAAATGGATGTATTAAAGAATAATAACTAATACGGTAAGTTTAGTATTACGAATAGAATAGCCATTTCTTCTGTTACTATGTATTTACTGATCTTCAAATCTTACCTATTTATTAGTTCATCTACCACAAATAGGAAGTTAAGGACTAGTAGAAAGGACCTAAAACTTAGAAAGTGTGAAATCACCTCCCCCTCCAAGGGGGATAGCCATGCCACAGTCCCTTCTGTGTCATTCTCTTCTTAGGATATTTGGATACACACGCACACATGCCTGGTGTAATTTTAAAGTTTCTGAGTCAGGGACTTGAACTGTTGAGTTTTCTATGTGGGATCCAGCACCTTAACCTCCATGCCATTTGTTAGCCTAGTCCTACACCTTTTTTAAATTGCCGGAGAGTATGTGCACTTTTCTTGTTTTTTTTCTTAAAGAATTATTTTATTTTATTTTATTCATCATCATCATCATCATCATTATTATTATTGGATTTTTACCAGAGAGAGACAAGAGAGAGAGGGAAAGTGAAAAAGCAAGCCGCCAGGTTCAAGACCCAAACTGCGGTCAGTCATATGGGAGTCCAGCACCTTAATCACCATACCACCTGCTGGCCCCAAGGGTATGTGCACTTTGTTTTTTTGGGGGGGAGGTTTTTGCTATAGGGCACATGCACTTGCCAGAAAGACAGAGAGAGGGAGAGGAAGAAATCATCCCCCTGTGGGGTATGGTCACTCCACAATCCCTTCTCCTCCATTCTCCTCTCGGGATCTTGGGCACGCATGCACACATGCCTGGCATGAGTTTTAAGCCACCGGGTCTGAGACTTGAACCGCAGTTGACTACATGGGAGTCCAGTGACAAAGCCATAATGTCAACTGCTGGTACCGGGTATGTGCACTTTGACACAAAGAGGGAGAGGAAGAAATCATCCCCCTGTGGGGTATGGTCACTCCACAATCCCTTCTCCATTTCTCTGTCCTGTTGCGATTTTGTGCACAATGCATACGTGCCTAATGTGTTTTTCAAGCTGCTAGGGCCAGGATTTGAACTATGGTTGGCCATGTGGGATCTATTCTCTTAACCACTAGACTGTGGGCATGACCCTGTTTTACACTTCCTAATCTTACCAAAACCCATTTCATAACTTCAGAGAGCCAGGAAACATCAGTAGTAATAACTAGTAAAATATAATGTGTTGATTGTAAAGAGAGACAGGAAGAAGGCTGTATTTATTTAGTGTTCTGTGATGTAGGTTACTATGTGAGACATTCAAAGGGTCCCCAAACAACCTTTTATGTTTTCTCCTGAAAGCTATAAGGTTGTATTTAAGAAATTCCTTTATATTTGGTATTAATACAGGTGGTACTTCATCTGTTGCTATGGAGAAGGGACCAACAGGAGACTATATTATAAATTAATAATGGCTGCTCCTTTTATTAATGCATTAGTATTTTCTGTCTCCTTTGAGAGGCACAAGTTCTAATCATGAAAATTGCTGCATTCGTATCATCAGGTGTCATGCGCATTGTTTTGACTTCTCTCATCTGCATCATGGCATGAGCTTTACTTCACCTTAGGTAGACCTTGGAATAAAAGGCTCGTTTGCTGTTTTATAATAGAAGCATCACAAGAAAGAAGAGCAGCCAAGAAGAGGTATAAGGATTCTGGCTTTTCCTCTCCAAGCTTAGATCATGACAGAAAGGACTAAGGAATTCTTTTAGTCAATTCTTTATTAAAGAAATCTGTAATGTAGCGGGGGGGGTGGTTAACATTAACTCAAGATTAGTGTTATTGTGGCATTCCAGTAATTGTACTATAATTAGAAAACAATTTCTGCCTTCTTGGTACTCTTTGTGCAGTACTAAGTGACTTTGACAATTTAATAATGTCAATCTGAGAAGTAAAATGCAACCGGAATTTTTCTTTCTTCAGTAGCTTCTGATGGTTGCTCTACTCCTTCAAGGGAGGAAGGTGGGTGTTCTCTGGCCTCTACACCTGCCACCACCCTGCACCTCCTGCAGCTTTCTGGTCAGAGGTCCCTTGTTCAAGAGAGTCTTTCCACGTAAGTAAGCCTAAAGTAGCTTGCACCAAGGCAGTATGTGCCTAAAGGTCTTAGGCTAAGGTTGGGAGAACAAAACTTGGCTACTAGCCCAGACTTCTTTTTTCTTATTTTTAGAAGAATTATTTTTATTTTAACTTTATTTGTTTATTTACGTATTTTAATTTGACCAGACAGGGACAGAGCAAGAGAGAGAGAGGGAAAGTGAGAAAGCAAGCTGCCAGGTCTGGGACTTGGAACCATGGTCAGCCATGTGGGAGTTCAGCACCCTTAACCACCACACCGCCTGCCAGCCCCAGTTCAGAATTCTTTTTGAAACCAAGAGGTAGAATCTAGGCTTTAGAGTTTTGGGGATAAGAATTTATTGGAACTAGTGAAGGTAGGTATGTCTATTTTCCCATTGGAAGGCTTTCTAACAGGAGCCCTAAGGTTTCACTAGGAAAGAAAGTGGAAAATGCCTAGTTATTTAGAAAATGTTTGTACATCTAAATCAAATATTCTTCTTTATTTAAGTAGCATTTCTTCCCATTTAAGAACATAGAGTGGAGAATAGGCTGTTTTAGTTGATATTGAAAGGATTTCTTTACCTCTGTGTTAGGGCAAAGAGGTTTGCTTTTTATTTTGTTTTTAAATAAAATTGTTGATCTTCATATTATTATTCATAAAATGGAGTACTTTTTTTAGTGTCTCAAATCTGCAACTAAATTAATTTTTTTAATACTTGTTCATTCTGTTTTTCAATCATAATGTCCTTGTGTCCGGTCATTCACTTTGCCCTTACCATATTCTTTTTTTTATTTTTTTTTTAAGATTTATTTTATTTAACTTTATTTATTTATTTATTTTAATTTGACCAGGGAGGGACAGAGGGGGAGAGAGAGGGAAAGTGAGAAAAGAAGCTGCCAGGTTTGGGACTTGAACCACGGTTGGCCATGTGGGAGCCCAGCACCTTTAACCACCACCCTACCTGCCAGCCCCACTGTCTTCCTTTTTAATTCTTGTGTTAGAAATATTGTATAGTTATTGAAGTATTCATGGTTCTTCCACTAGCATCAGGTTACTATTTGGGAGAAATAATTTAGATACTTTGTTATTAAAAAGTAAGAACAAGTACAGAAATATAAAACAGTGGCTTTGGTAATAACCTGTGATTTCTCTTTACATAAAGGAATTCCTCCGATCTTGTTGCTCCTTCCCCTGATGCTTTCCGATCCACCCCGTTTATTGTTCCTACCAGTCCCACAGAGCAAGGAGGGAGAAGAGGTGAGAGCTCTCTTGATCTGTTTGTTACTTCAGATTAGAAGAGAAATGGCACTTATTCTGACTTGTGAAATGTACTGTTTCTTAGTATTTGAGGACACTGTGGCCTACATTATGCATTAGGTCTCGTGTCTGTCTAACTTTTAGGGATATGGCTTGTATAAATGGCTTTCCTCAGTACTTTGCTTTTTAGCACCAGTTCTTATGAAATTTTTGTATTGTTTACTCGTTTTATTTTTATTTTTTAAAAAATACTTTATTTATTGCTGTTACTTTTTAATTTGGCTAGAGAAAGACAGAGAGGGAGGGAAAGTGAGAAAGCAAGCTGCCAGATTTGGGATTTGAACAGTAGTCAGCCATGTGGGAGTCTAGCACCTTAACCACTATGCCATGCCACTTGCTGGTCCTGTTGACTCAGTTTTCTTTTTAAAGAATTACTGGGACCAGCAGTTAGCGTAATGGCTAAGTTGCTGAACTCCCATGTAGTCGATCACGGTTCGAGTCCTGGACCCGGTGGCTTAAACTTATGCCGGGCGCGTGTGCGTGTGTATCCAAGATCCCGAGAGGAGAATGGAGGAGAAGGGATTGCGGCGTGGCCATCCCCCTTGGGGGGTGATTTCTCGCTTTCTGTCTCTCTGTCTCTCTCTTTCTTGCAAGCGCACTGGCCCTATAGCAAAAACCTCTCCCCCCCAAAAAAAAAGAATCACTTAATTTTACTTGTTTGTTATTATTTTAATTTGACCAGAGAGAGGGAGAGAAAAAAGGGGGAGTGAGAACCAAGCCATCAGATCTGGGACTCAAAATGAAGTTGGCTACATAGTAAGTGCTACCTGCTAGCTCCATCACTCAGTTTTTTTTCTTTTTTTTTTTTTAAGAGGTTTTCTTTTTTTTTTTTGGAGAGGTTTTTGCTATAGGGCGCATGCGCTGGCCAGAAAGACAGAGAGACAGAAGGCGAGAAATCATCCCCTGGGGGAATGGCCATACCGCAGTCCCTTCTCCATTCTCCTCTCGAGATCTTGGGCATGCACACACATGCGCCCGGCCTGTTTAAGCCACCGGGTTTAGGACTCGAACCACAGTCGACTACATGGGAGTCCAGCCACATAGCCATTACGCAAACTGCTGGTCCCTTTTAAGAGGTTTTTATCTTAGGGCACGTGCATTCACCAGAGAGAGAAAGAAAACAACAGAGACAGAGATAGTGCAAGGGAAAGGGAGAAGTCACCTCCCTAGGAAAGGTGGCCACACTGTAATCCCTTCCCCTCTGTTCTCTTCCTGGGATCTTGGGCATGCGCACACACATGCATTGCATGACTTTTCAAGCCACTGGGTCTACCTAGTACTCAAACCATGGTCGACCATGTAGAAGTCCAGCATTGTAACCTCTATGTCATCTGCTGGCGTCTCCCATCACTCAGATTTTTTAAAATATATTTTTACTATAAGGGGTGTGTGCTTGCTGGTGAGACAGGAAGATAGAAAGCGAGAAATCACCCTTCCGGGGTGGGTGGGGATGGCCATATAGCAATCCCTTCTCCTCCATCCTTGTCTTGTGATTTTGGACACGCGTGCACACGTGCTCAGTGTGAATTTAGAGTTGTTGAGTCTGGGACTCGAACCACAGTCTCTACTATGTGGTAATTTAGTGACATAACCATTATGTCACTGCTGGTTCTCCCCATCACTCGATTTTTAAAAAGACCTTTAAGGGGACCAGCAGTATAGCATAATGGCTATGTCGCTGGACTCCCACGTAGTCGACCGCGGTTCGCGTCCCGGACCCGGTGGCTTAAAACTCACACCGGGCACGTGTGCGTGTGTGCCCAAGATCCCGAGAAGAGAATGGAGGAGAGGGGACTGCGGCGTGGCCATCCCCTCTGGGGGGTGATTTCTCGCTTTCTGTCTCTATGTCTCTCTCTGTGTCTGTCTGGTGAGCGCACGTGCCCTATAGCGGAAAAAAAAAAAAAAAAACCTCTCCAAAAACATGTTTTAACTGAAGAGTGGCTAGGAGCAGGTGGCAAAAATTTCAACTTTTTACTTCCTCCTTTAAGAACTTAATGAGAGAACTGACATTGGTATGGTAGTTAAGGCGTTGAACTCCCATGTGGCCAACACAGTTCAAATCTCAGAGCTGGCAGCTTGCTTTCTCACTTTCCTTTTCTCTCTCTCTCTCGTCAAATTAGAAAATAATAATAATAATAACAAATAAAGTTAAATAGATAAATTATTTTTGGAAAATAACTTATTTTTTTATTACTTTATTTAAAAGAGAACTTTGCCTTTCACTTACTTAATTTATCTCATTATCTAAATGTCCTGTGTTCTGTCCTTGTTATATCTAGTCAGTCGTTCAAGATAATTTCCAAATTTCTACTATTTCTATAAAATCTTTCTTAGTAAATTGCATGATTTTATTTTTTGTTCTTTCATATACAAATAATGGTAGAATATCTTGTATTTATTAAGCACTTAGCATATGCCAGGTACTATTCTAGATGCTTCTTGTTGGTTCTGGATGGTTCTTGGTTTTTCCCTCATCGAATCCTCACAATAATCCTATGAGGTAGGTATTACTTTTATCCCCATCTTATTGATGAGGAAAAAGGGAAAGGGAGATCTCATTACCAATAAGGTGGAAAGGCAGGATTTGAACTCAGGCAGCTGTCTCTAGAGCCTTTGCTCTCACTATATAAATTTTTTTAAATTTTTATTTGTTTGGTTTTTTGGGGGGCAACAAGGTGTATTAATATATTTGTTATATTCATGCAGTGAAACATTATAAAGTAACAAAACTACCAACCCACCTACATACAATGACATGGGTGTTTCATAGACAAATAATTTAGTAAACACACACACACGTCAACCACAAAAGAATATATACTATTCAATTCAATTTAAATAAATTTCATTAACAGACAAAACTAATCTATCATCTTGTTTGAAGTTAGAATGGCAGTTAGTTTTGGGAGAAGGGAGTGAAAGGGAAAAAAGCTAGGAACGCTATCGAGATGCTGGTAAGAGTCCTGGTTCTTAATCTGGAGGCTACTTACAGGCCCTTTTGTCCATTTTTATGTATGTTAAAGTAAAAACAAAAACACCATAGTAACATGTGCTAGAAGCTGCTGCTTGAAAGCAGAGACTGCATGAGAGGTCTGCGTTGGATTCCTGGACTATTCTAAAAAGCCAGAGAATGGTGGTATACACACTTCTGGTCCCGGATAGATATTCAGGAGGCTGAGGCAGTAGGATTTTGACAGAGGATGTCTAAAACAGTGTCTAAAACACCACACACACACACACACACACACACACACACACACACAGGCACGCATATTGTTTCCAATGAGAGGTCTGATGTTAGCCTGATGGGATATCACACACACACATTGTATCCAATGAGAGGTCTGCTGTTAGCCTGATGGGATAACCTTTGTAAGTAACCTGATGTTTCTCTCTTGCCAATTTTAGTATCTTGTCTTTGTGGATTTGCCATTCTGGCTATGATGTACCTTGGAGACAAACTTGGGTTGATTCTCGTGAGGTCCTTTGTATTTCTTGGGTCTAGATATTTGAATGCCTCTCTAGCTTTGGAAAGTTTTCTTTCAGGATTTTATGGAATACATTATCAATGCCCTTAACTAGTTTCATCACCTTCTGGGATACCAATTACCCAGATATTTGGGAACTTAATGGTATCTAGTATTTCTTGTATATTCTCATTTTTGGGAGTTATTTTCTCAGTCTTTTTGGTGATTTTTTTCTAGGTCAGGTTTTGTCTTCAACATCCAAGATTCAGTCTTCTGCATGGTCTAATCTGCATTTAATACTTTTAAAGGAGGTTTTGATTTCCTGTATTACAGCCTTCATCTCTAACAGCTTTGTTTAATTATTTTTTATGGCGAGTGTTTTTGCTTTCAAATTGTGGAAGAACTTCCTCACCTCCTGGAACTCGTCTTTTTTCTTTTGCACCTTCTGGAGATCATTGTCTCTCATCTCTTGCATCTTGTTTAGTTTTGTCACTATGAATATTCTGAATTCTTTATTGGACATTTTCATGAATTCCATTGTGCTGTCTGTGGATGATGAACAGTTCTTCTCCCTTGGGGGAGAGAAATTTTCTTTGTTTCTCATATTTTTTTGTGTTTCTGTGATAGTTTCTGGTCATCTGATTATACGTTTCTTCTTAATTTCTTGGAGTTAATTCTAAGCATTCAGAAGTGTGTGGGAGGAGGCGAACCACAATCTCTCTGCAGTTCCATTTCCCTGATGCTCACCAAGCAACCTGCACTTTTGACTTTGGAAATGGCTATTACAAATCTTCACAGTTTCTAGAGAATTAGGTACGCCTGGGCTGAGCTGCAGGATTTCAGCTGAGAATTCAGAGGCATGTGAGAGGAGATGAGCATTGTTCTCTGCAGCTCCATACTTCTCCCTGCTGCTCACTCCGCAGTCTCTCTTCTCTGAATTTAAGTCATTTGCTGGTGTATTCACTTTTGACTAATTGCATGGAGAAGGTTTCTGCAGCTTTAAGATCATGTGCCTTGCTTTAGGAATGGTACTTCGGAAGCAATTTCTCTTTACTACTGTGTTTTGCAACATAGTATCCAAAGAAAGAGATTTGGGGTTCGGATTTATAAGGAGGAGTTTCTTCCTTCAGGCATTAGGTTTCCTAAAGTTTGAGGATTCCTGTGCTCTTAAAAGTATTCATACTTGGCTACTGTGCAGCTAGGCCTGTCTAGACACTCAGTATGTGGAGGCTGAATAGCAGAGTGAGAAAGTAAGATTAAAAAAAAAAAAAAAAAGAAAAAGGAAAAGAAAACAAAGGGGGAAAAAGACAAAAACAACTGAAAAAGGAAAAAAAATTTTGAACAGCAAAAAATGAAATCTCTGCAGTGCTTGGGACACACCTCAGATTGAAATGGTTTCTGAAATTAGCAAAAGAAAGAAAAGGTCAGAGGTAAGAAGAAATACTTTTTTTAAAAAAAAATTTATTTATCCATTCATTCATTCATTCATTCATCCAATTATTTTTTAATTTGACCAGAGAGAGATACAGAGAATGAGAGAGGAAAGTGAGAAAGCAAGTCACCAGGTCCAGGACTCAAACCATGGTCAGCCATGTGAGAGTGTCCAGCACCTTAACCACCACGCCACCTGCTGGTCCCAAGAAGAAAGGTTTAAAAAAATTTAAAAAAGAAAAGAAAAAATTCAGAGAGAGAGAAAGAAGATAGAGGTCGCCCTTCCTGTCTGACCTTTTTTGGGGTCTGAAAGATGGGGTTTAAAGCAGAGATTCAGTCCTAAATATGTGTGCATGTATGTACACACACACACGCACCCAGCATGTTTTTCAGACTACCGAAGTTGGGATTTGAACCATGGTTGGCCATATGAGATCTAGCTTTCTATCCACAGTGCATAAACCACCATACTGCAGTGCTGACCCTTAACTATCTCTTAAGTGTGGTTTATCTATGACTTTCCTCTCCTACAAAGTTTGTCTTGTCTTTTTCTTTTACCAATCACTTGTAGGTTTCCAAGCGTACTAGTATTAATATTATTCTAAACATGATTAGTATCATTTTAGTAAAAAAAAAGAAAAAGGCAAATTCATTCCACAAAAAAACCTGTAAATGAAAGTTTAATTGGTTAATTTGAATAGTTTATTTTTCTTTCTTTCTTTCTTTCTTTCTTTCTTTCTTTCTTTCTTTTTTTTTTTTTTAACTTTTTGCTATAGGATATGTGCACTTGAGAGAGAGAGAGAGAAAAAAATCACCTCCCAAGGGTAATGGCCATGCCATAATTCCTTCTCCTCTAGTGTCCTTTTGGGATTTTGGGCATGCACCCACACGTGCTTCAAGTAATTTTCAAGCTGCTGGGTCAGGAACTTCAATCACACATCTGGCCATGGTGGGATCTAATGCTTTAACCTCCATGCCACCTGCTGGCCCCTGAATAGTTTCTTCTGTCTGTAGTGTGAGCACTGAAAACATATAAAAATAATTACATTAGAATTGCTTTCTCAGGACCAGCAGATAGTGTAATGGTTACGTCGCTGGACTCACAAGTAGTTGATTACGGTTTGAGTCCTCAACCCAGCAGCATAAAACTCACACCAGCTTAAAATTCACACCAGGCACATGTGTATATGTGTTCAAAATCCTGAGAGAAGAACAGAGGAAAAAGGATTTCAGCATGGCCATCCCCCCCGGGGAATGATTTCTTATCTTCCGTCTCTTTGTCTCTCCTAACAGTTGTTAGGAGAAAAAGGGTGATGAATGCAATACATGGTTATAGGGCACGTATCCTATAGCAAAAAAACTCTCTCTCAAAAAAAAAGACAAATACTTTCTTCCTGATTTTGAATATAATCAGTACTTTATATACAAAATTTTGAAAATATATAGGCAAGTAATGAGGAAAGAAAGTAAAATGTGATACCATAACCTAGATATAATTACAGTTAGTACTAGTATATATTTCTTTTCAGATTTTTTTTTTTTTTTTGCCATACTGTGTATGCATTCTCCAGAGAGAGACAGAAAGAAAGAGGAAAAGTCCCTGGGGGGATGGCCATGCCACTATCCCTTCTTCATTTTCCTATTAGGAGTTTGGGTATGCACGCATGTGCTCCTGGCATGATTTTCAAGTTGCCAGATTTGGGACTGAACTGTGGTTGGCCAGGTGGGAGTCCAGCACCTTACCCACAGCCATCTGCTGGCCCTCCTTTCAGAATGTTTTTAATGCATAATATAAAAAACATTTTTGTGCATTTGACATTATATACATAATTCAATTTTTTTAACGTAATGTACAGTATTTTTTTCAGTTGTATTTTGGATTTAATGCATTTGCTTAATATATACATTGGTGTTTGTACAATTGTATATGCTTTTTAAAAATTTTTGGTTTTGCCATAGGATGTGTACATTTGGCATAGAGGGAGAGGAGGGAGAGAGAGAGAGAGGGAAACTGAGAAGTCATCTCTGCCCCTGCCTTCCACCTTCCCTCCCCGCTGTGGGGATTTCTCCTCCATTATCCTCTCGGGATTTTGGGCATGTATGTACATGTGCCTGGTGTGTTTTTCCAGATGCCAGGTCCAGGACTTGAACTATGTAGTTGGCATTGTGGGATCTATTTGCCTTAACCACCATGCCACTGGCTGGCCTTATATAAGCTTTTTATATTTGTTAGGTCTTCTTCATATTTTATTGCTAGATTGTTAACCTAAGGGCTTTTTATATTGTAGTATCTTGAGCAACAGGGTCCTTAATGTACTTTGCATTGGCAAGAAAAGTTAAAGGGCTATGAAAATACTTAACTGTGCTAGTGCATTGAAGGCCTGTAGTGCCTAGTAGTATTAGATTTGTACATGAAGTTGGTCCAGCTAAGCAACAAGGATAGGTGTTGAGGTTGGGGTGAGGGTAGTCAGTAACATGAATGTACATTATGGGAGAAAATGAAATATTTTAAGTAGTTTTTGAGTGGCGTAAAGAAGTAAGGTTGAGGGAACCAGCAGTTAGCGTAATGGCAATGTCGCTGGACTCCCCTGTAGTCGACCGCGGTTCGCGTCCCGGACTCGGTGGCTTAAACCTTACGCCGGGCGCGTGTGCGTGCGTGCCCAAGATCCCGAGAGGAGAATGGAGGAGAAGGGATTGCGGCGTGACCATCCCCCCTGGGGGGTGATTTCTCGCTTTCTGTCTCTATGTCTCTCTGTCTGTCTGGCGAGTGCACGCGCCCTATAGCAAAAACCTCTCAAAAAAAAAAAAAAAAGTAAAGTTGATTGACAGTATGTTGTTAGGAGAAAAAGGGTGATGAATACAATACATGGTTAGCTAGGCTGGTTCCAAGGAAGGTGGTTAGCCTATGGGTGGGTAGTATAATATGAAGAAGCAGAGTTTTGTGTTCTGTGTATGTCTTCCCTCCTGAGCAATTTGTGTCAGGATTAGCCTCTTGTACTTTTTTTTTAGCTCTTCGATAAATCAGTACTCATTGGCACTGATCGTTTTATTTTTTTCTTTCTCTATTTGTTCAGGCATCCATTTCTCTGCACTTAGCAGTTGTTAATGCCGATACAATATAATAAGTTCTTTTTTTTAAAAATTCTTTTTTATTTAATTTTTCTATCATTACTAATTTTTTTTAAATTTGACCAAAGAGAGACAGAGAAAGAGAAAGTGAGAAAGCAAGCCACCAGGTCTGGGACTAGAACTTTAGTCAGCCACATGGCAGTAGAGTGCCTTAACCACTACGCCACCTACTGGTCCCCACAAGTTCTTAACTATGTAGATATTGATTTAGAATGGTGTTGTTTTCCTGCTTTCCAAGACCTGTGGCAGAATACACAATGGTTACACTGGGTTCCATTAATCTGCGCATTTCTATATGGAATGTGACAGGCTGAGCTGTATTGTGGAAAAGTGTTCAGAGGAGTTAAGGTAATTTAGCATTTTTTTTTTTTGGAGAGGTTTTTTCGCTATAGGGCGCGTACGCTCGCCAGACAGACAGAGAGAGACATAGAGACAGAAAGCGAGAAATCACCCCCCAGGGGGGATGGTCACGCCGCAATCCCTTCTCCTCCATTCTCCTCTCGGGATCTTGGGCACGTACGCACACGTGCCCGGCGTGAGTTTTAAGCTACCGGGTCCGGGACGCGAACCGCGGTCGACTACGTGGGAGTCCAGCGACATAGCCATTACGCTAACTGCTGGTTCCCAAGGTAATTTAGCATTTTTTGGTGAATGGGTGGGTATTTTCAGATGAACCCCATTTTAATTTATCTGAAAATAATGAGCATGGGAACCCCCTCTCACCTCCAGCTGAGGTAATTATTGTTCGATTGCTAAGCTAGCTTAATCTACTATCCTGTCAGCTTTTCTGAAAATTAAGTCACTATTTTTCAGGGAGAGAAATTTCTTTTTTTTTTTTTTCTTTAAGATTTTTTGCCATAGGGCATATGCTCTTGGTTGAGAGACAGAGAGAGAGACAAGAGATGAGAGATGGTGAGAGGGAAAGTGAGAAATCACCCACCAGGGTGGATAGCCACACTGGATTCCTTCTCCTCTATTCTCCTCCTGGGATTTTGGGGATGCATGCACACGTGCCTGGTGTGATTTTCAAGCCACCAGTCCAGGCTTGAACTGTGGTCAGCCATGTGGGAGTCTAGTGCCTTAACCACCATGCTACCTGCTGGCCCCAAAGAAAATTTCTGTAATGAATTGTTGCTAGTGCTTGAATAATTTTGATGAATGATTATTTCTCAATTTGTTTTTCCTATTTTAAACCAGATGACCAGCCAATAGACATGTCAATGTTATCTGAAGGAGGAGGAGAGCCTTTTCAGAAGAAACTCCAAGATGATGAACAAATGGAGCGAGAAAACCCCCCTGTCCCACTTGAGCCCACTGTATCACCACAAGTCTCAACACCAGTATCTCAGAGCACACCAGTCTTCACTCCTGGGTCACTTCCGATCCCATCCCAGCCTGAGTTTTCTCATGTGAGTATTATCGTGTAGAAAGTTTTTCATCCTAGCATATCTCTTCTCCCTTCAAAGTTTATCTCTTTTCTCCATGAGGGAGAGAGAACAGGCATCCCCAACAAGGTCTCCATGCTGCTGTTCACCCTGGTCCCAGCCAGCCTGGATCATGACTGTGCACAAAGAGACCCCAGGATGAGAACCTGGGACTTTCCCATGTGGTTCCACTTGTATTATGGCTATGTCACTGTTTGGTACTTTTTACAAAAAACTAGCATGTTTTAGTTATAATCTATTAACCATAAAGTTTACCCATATAAGTATACAATTTAGTGATGTTTTAATAAATTTACAGAGTTATACAACTGTCATCACAATTCAGTTTCAGAACATTTCCAAAGTCTCCTAACATTCTTGATGTATTTTTTATTTTTTAATTTTGTACTGTATCACTAAACTTTTTGAAAATGTTACTGCAAATTGAAAGGGGGCATGAATCGTCATTCTACCTTAATTAACTACTGTTATTTTTGTCTTTCCACACGGTTATTTAAAAAAAAAAATTGTTTGTAAAAACAAACTTTAGGCGTTGGCAGGTGGAGTTGTAGTTGATACTGGACTCTCCTACATGACTGACCGTGATTTGAGTCCCAGACCTGGCGGCTCCTTTTCAGAAGAAACTCCAAGATGATGAACAAATGGAGCGAGAAAACCCCCCTGTCCCACTTGAGCCCACTGTATCACCACAAGTCTCAACACCAGTATCTCAGAGCACACCAGTCTTCACTCCTGGGTCACTTCCGATCCCATCCCAGCCTGAGTTTTCTCATGTGAGTATTATCGTGTAGAAAGTTTTTCATCCTAGCATATCTCTTCTCCCTTCAAAGTTTATCTCTTTTCTCCATGAGGGAGAGAGAACAGGCATCCCCAACAAGGTCTCCATGCTGCTGTTCACCCTGGTCCCAGCCAGCCTGGATCATGACTGTGCACAAAGAGACCCCAGGATGAGAACCTGGGACTTTCCCATGTGGTTCCACTTGTATTATGGCTATGTCACTGTTTGGTACTTTTTACAAAAAACTAGCATGTTTTAGTTATAATCTATTAACCATAAAGTTTACCCATATAAGTATACAATTTAGTGATGTTTTAATAAATTTACAGAGTTATACAACTGTCATCACAATTCAGTTTCAGAACATTTCCAAAGTCTCCTAACATTCTTGATGTATTTTTTATTTTTTAATTTTGTACTGTATCACTAAACTTTTTGAAAATGTTACTGCAAATTGAAAGGGGGCATGAATCGTCATTCTACCTTAATTAACTACTGTTATTTTTGTCTTTCCACACGGTTATTTAAAAAAAAAAATTGTTTGTAAAAACAAACTTTAGGCGTTGGCAGGTGGAGTTGTAGTTGATACTGGACTCTCCTACATGACTGACCGTGATTTGAGTCCCAGACCTGGCGGCTTGCTTTCTCACTTTCTCTTTCTCTCACTCTCGCTGTTGCTCTCTCTCTCTCTGGTCAAATTAAAATAAATAAAGTTAAATAAAAATAATTCTTTTTTAAAAAAGAGGAAGAAACATAAACTTTAATCTTCTTTTTCCAGTTAACATTATGTCATAATTTCCAGTGTTGTATAGTCTTTATATTACCCTTTCAAAAGTTGTGCAATATTTGTTAAGAGTTGATGTGTTATAACTTATTCATGTACCTTGGGTATCAGTATGGTTTTTGACTTTCTGATGTGTATTTTCTTCTGAAATCTAGAGAAAGGTAAAATCTTAATTTGTGTCATTTTAAATTTAATTATTTTAAGAAATGAAGTGCTAGTTTCATAGTGATTTAGAGGTCCTTAATTAAATCTAAATGTGGCCATGTTAATGTTAGGTCTAAGTGCCTGTTATTATAAGACCTGAAATGGGGGAGTTATAGTATTGTTATTGAGAGAATGACTTTCGTTCCTTTCAGTTTGCAGGTGTTGTAACAAGAGTTTATATTTAAAAGTAAAATTGGAAAATGAATACTAATGAAATATGCCATGAATTTAGTGAGGAGGGAATCTTAGAAAAAAACAAACTGAATTGCTTTCAGGAGTTTGATTACTCTCTTTAAAGAATTATTTTACTTAGTTAATTTATTATTTTTATTTTTTATTTTGACCAGAGAGAGAGAGACAGAGAGAGAGAGAGAGAAAGTGAGAAAGCAACCAACCAGGTCTGGAACTCGAACTGTAGTTGGCCCTGTGGGGGAATTTAGTGAGGAGGGAATCTTAGAAAAAAACAAACTGAATTGCTTTCAGGAGTTTGATTACTCTCTTTAAAGAATTATTTTACTTAGTTAATTTATTATTTTTATTTTTTATTTTGACCAGAGAGAGAGAGACAGAGAGAGAGAGAGAGAAAGTGAGAAAGCAACCAACCAGGTCTGGAACTCGAACTGTAGTTGGCCCTGTGGGGAGTCCAGCATATTAACCACCACGCCACCTGCCAACCCCGTTTTCTGGAGTTTTATAAAACTTGTTTTGTCAAAGAACTCTATTTTATACAAATCATTTGAAGTGACTTGGTGGAGTGGTTAAGAATAAGGATGCCAGAATCAAAACTTCCTGGACTCATTTGAGTTTATCATTATTGCTTTTGTGACCACTTGAAACTGAGACTCTGTTTCCTCTTCAAATAGGGATATTGATACTCCCTACCTATCTCATAGAGTCTTTGTAAAGGTTGTGAATGAATGTGTGTGTATACACATATGCCATGCACTTGGTAAACACTACACAGGGCAGCCGTTGTTAGCAATGAGAGTAGAAGATAAAGTTAGGTAGAGATGAAGTGGATATTAAATTACCATGCATCTTTTTCTTTAGCTCTTATTCTCTATCAAAGTTATATGTGAATATACATAGCTTACAAGTGTCATCAGACTTTAAGGATGAGCTACAATATAAGACAGATACAGAGCACTAAGAATTGTCCAGAAAAGGTACCCGATGTTAAAGAGAATGGTAACAGATGTTTATCAGTGACCAAAAAGGACGTTTATTAGAATGAATGTCTTTGCAAAGTTTTCCCTAAATGAATGTCTTTGCAAAGGTTTCCCTACTAGTCAGGAGAAATGATGCCTGGCCATAAAGGAGAATTGACTTTAAGAATTATTGAAAGGGACCAGCAGGTGGCGTGGTGGCTAAGGTGCTAGACACTCCCACATGGCTGACCACGGTTTAAGTCCTGGACCTGGTGGCTTGCTTTCTCACTTTCTCTGTCTTTCTCTGGTTAAATTAAAATCAATGAATGAGTAAATAAAATTAAATAAATAATTCTTAAAAAAAATAAAGTATTATTGATGTACTTGGGGCTGGCAGGTAGCATGGTGATTAAGGGCTACGGACTCCCACATGGCTGACCACAGTTCAAGTCCTGGACCTGGCAGCTTGCTTTCTTACTTTCTGTCTCTCTCTTTCACTCTGTCCCTCTCTGGTCAAATTTAAATGAATAAATGGATAAATAAAATAAAATAATTTTAAAAAAAGAACTATCGAAGTTTTTACTCTACTTTTAGGATTTACCAGAGACCTTCAACAATGAAAATTTGGATAAACAAGTGATTTTGGGGACCAGCAGTTGGCATAATGGCTATGTCGCTGGATTCCCAAGTAGTTGACCATGGTTTGAGTCCTGGAATCGGTGGCTTAAGCTCATGCCAGGCGCATGTGCTGCGTGTGCGTGCGTGCCAAAGATCCTGAGAGGAGAATGGAGGAGAAGGGATTGCGGCGTGGCCATCCATCCTGAGATTTCTCACTTTCTGTCTCTCTGCCTCTGTCTTGTCTTTCTGGCTAGTGCACGCGCCCTATAGCACAACCTCTCCAAAAAAAAAAAAACCCAAAAAAACAAAACAAACAAGTGATTTTGAACATAGCTTGAAAATTCCTAGAACCTAAGATGACTCTCTTCAGATTTCTTTGGATTCATATTTAGGATTCTGTAGTCAGTTTAATCCATCCCTCCTGAAAAATATCTGTGAAGAATACTTTTATAACATAGCCTTTATTTATTGATTGATTGATCTATTGAGAGGTTTTTGCTATAGGGTATGTGCCCACACCAGAAAGACAGAGAGAGACAGAGAAACAGAAAGTGAGAAATCACTCTCCAGGGGGGATGGCCACGTCTCAATCCCTTCTCCTCCATTCTCCTCTCAGGATCTTGGGCACATACACACACGCACCCAGCATGAGTTTAAGCCACCGGGTCCGCTCTAGAACTGTGGTCGACTACATGGGAGTCCAGCGACATAGCCATTATGCTATCTGCTGGTCCCTATAATATAGCCTTTAAATTAAGGGTTTCATTTCAGTTCATCAGCTGTAGTAAAAGCCAAAAAAAAAAGAGTCAGTTAAAAACAAGGCCTTTTGAGAATGGAGGAGAAGGGATTGTGGTGCGGCCATCTCCCCAGGGGGTGATTTCTTACTTTCTGTCTCTCTCTGTCTCTCAGGAGAGCACACATGCCCTATAGCAAAAATCTCTCTCAAAACAAAGAAACAAACACAAGGCCTCTGACTACCCCTACCCTAGGACAGCCACTTTTAGTTCTTTAAGCTTTTTCTTTTGGTATTTACCTCTGTAATTTTGTATACCATGCTTTTGTTTTCATAGATTCAATATTTCTTGTGCACATGTGTTTATCTTAGGCTCTTACTATGTTGTGGTCCTCCTGCTTCAGCCTCCTAAGTATCATTTTTTTTTTATACCAGAGCTTTTAGGGTGGCCTGGTGATTGCACCTGGGCATTCCACGTGGCTTCAGCCAGCATGCTGTCATGACTGGACTCATAAATCTGTTTCTAAAATACTTTTGTTCAGTTCCCCACCTTCCAGGTATAGTAACGTCTTAATTTTCTATGGATTTGGTCAGCCCTATAGCTTGACAGTTGAGGCAGCTGGATCCCACATGGCCAGCCTTGTAGTTCAAGCATGTACTGACGGGTTGAGAAATATGCCAGGTGTGTGTGCATGTGTG